GGAAGCGATGATTAACATAAATTTAAAATTCTGTTTTTGTAACGTAAAATTTCAGTTGATTAGTTACAAGAAATTGAAAGGCACTAATTTGTTTTTTTTGCTGTCTGTTGCATCTATGATGTATTTGTGACGCTTTTTTCACGCCGAGACGGACAAAACTGATTTTGTCGGAATGTTTCAATGCGTTGAATTTCAAAAAAAAAAAAAAGAACTGAAGAAATAAATAAAATTAATAGATAAATGAATATGAATATTGCATTGGGGATTAAAAAGTCAACTTTTAGCGTAAAGCTGTTCCGTCGATATACGATAAAATGGCTTGGCTAATCTTATCACTTGTCCTCGTAAAAAAAAAAGAACTTTTTTGTATTTTCTTCTTTTTTTTTTCTCATTATATTATTTTTTAATCAAAAAAAAAAAAGAAGAATATGAGAAACGATGTAAAAAGTTAAGAGAAGTGTAAAAAAGCATTTCTATTTGTAAATCCTAATATAATGTTGTTTTTTATTAGGAAGTGAAAGGGGGAGGGGCTGTTGCTGCTACAGACGTAACTCTCCCTCTCTGTTAGTTGGCTCGTTTCAACCGCAGCGCCCTGCGATAATCGCTGGTTGATTTGTGCTGTTTAGTAGAATCACTGACGTAATCAGTCTTAAGTTTCATGTAATGATGACTGTTAGTGCAAAAGCTAATTTTTCATTTTTCCTCATGTTCACGCAGCTGAGTGATAAATATAACCGTAACGGTGATGTTCTGCTCTATTAAAGTTTTTCTCTTAACCTTTCTTTTTATATCAAAGTGCAAAAATGCTCAAAAATGGATTAACAAGTGAATACCTCTTTATCAAAAAGACGGAACGCTTCACGGAGTTCCTTCTGCAATGTTTCTTTGTCGACGGTGTTTGCAACTGTATAGACCAGGGCACAGAATTCATCAAATTCCAATTTGCCAGATCCATCGGCATCAAATTTTCGAATCAGTTTTCGAAGTTGTTTTTCGTCAAAATCCTGTTCCATTGCATGCATAATTTGACCAATCTGTGTGGCCATAATGTATCCCTGTTTGCCCCGGTCAAACATATCAAAGAATTTTTGGTATTCTACAATCAAAGCAGTATTATTACTGGCACTGTAATAGAAAAAATAATCAGAAATGATTATAAGCTGAAAACCTTTATAGTGAAGACAAATAAACAAACAAATAAATAAATAATGATAGTGTGTTCAGAAATCTTTTCACGCCATAATTTTAAAACAAAAAAAGAGGACTTTTTTCTTCTTCTTATTATTATTTTTTTTTTGTCAGCCCCCCTTACATAAATCACTCATTATTGTTCAACTTCACTGACGAGCCTCATAAAATTAAGGCTCATCTATCGGATTAAAAACAATAAACGGTGATATTCAGCTTGAATAATTCTGAAAAAAAAAGACGAAAGTGTTTTTGTTTCTGGAAAAAGTTGGTTTTACCACTGAACAAAATAAAAGACACTTATTTCTCGTTTACTTTATTCCTTTTTTATATTTTACAAAAACGGTTATTGGTTTGTTTTTTTTTCTTTGGTTTTTTCGTCACATTCTTTTGACTGTAACTTAGAAGAAAACAAAAATTTCTTATTGTTTTACAAATATTCATTTGAAAGGGCAAAAGAAGATTTATAACATTGGTTTTTTCAAGTTTTGATTCTCTTACCATTAGCTAATAGAACATCTTAGATGCAACCAAAAAATTAGTAGCGGTAGCAAAAAAAAAAAAAAAAACAACACATGTGAATACCTTCAATTTGAGAACCATCAATTTCAGCAAGGATTTCCTCAATATCTTCTGCCTAAAAATAAACAAATGCTGTATTGCAAATGGAGAAAAAAAAGACGAAAAATAACAACGCATTATTCAGTATCAAAATACCTTAAGAATTATTTGACTAAATATTTAGAGTGAAAATAATCGGTATTCAAATTAAAAGTCACATTAGAAAAAGCGAAAATGGATAGATCCAAAAAAAAGAAGTATCAAACTAATTATTTAGAAATAATGAATAAACTATTGACTGAGACTTATTTTTTATCTTCCCCACTTTAAAAGTTTCATTTTCTTTCCTTTTTTCTCTTCCTCACTTTTGTTACCAATTTTTTTGTTTTTACATTTCCATTACAATAGGACTTTTTGTTTTGTGCTTTCTCGTTATTTTAAGATAAGCAAATAAATGGGAAATGGTCAACCAGATTCTTACCATGGTTGGATATGTGAGCTTGGTGGTGGATGACTAGTAGTGGAGGCAAAGGCTTGAGGTTTGATGAAGTGAAAGCGAGATACAGAATGCAACGGCAAATAATAACACAAAACTGAACAGACGCAGTTGCTTTGTAAAATAGCAAATGCTTCCACTGGTTGAATGCCACTATAATACTCTATCAAGACTTTTTTCGTGCTTTTGCCAATGCTTTTACGCCCCCAGTAAAGCTTTGGATGTTCTTTGAAATGAACGGCTATAAAGTTTTCTTTTACGTTCGACTCTCCTATCCCCTTCGTGCTGATATCTGTGTGTCTTTGTAGATGTGTATTTGTGTGTGTCTGTGTGAAATCAAAGGCCTTCAGGCAGCCAAACGGACTTCTGTCTATGTATCTAAGTGTAAGCTGGTATATGCTCTATGCATTTGTGTGTGTATTGCTGTTGTAAAGCGTTATCAGTTGGATATTTTGCGCCCCCATAATACCATTAACAACAGGAAGCATTACTGAAATAAAGATAAAGCCAGGCGTAACCAAGTCTAAGAGACAAGAAGCTTTTTGTTTAACATTGGCACATCAAAACATCTTCAGCAAAAATTCGTCGTCGTCTGAAAATCTCTGCTAGCAGCAACACATTGTTTTTTGCCCTTATTACCCCCTACCTCGCTTAAGAGCTAAAAAAAATTTATTTTTTTTTTAATTTCTATCTCTTCTCATTCTTTGTTTTCTTTTTTTTTCCCAGATATTTCTCCAAAAAGTTTCCACTTTGTTTTAATCTTGTGATATTGCGCCGAAAAATATGTTGTTCTCTGTACTGTACCAACGGAAAAGTTTCTGATGATCAGTTAATCATCCAATACAATATGCACTGCAGCACTATAATCTTCTCATCTTCTGGCAACAACGCAGAAAATTTCCCTAAAAAAAATTTTTTTTGTTTTCTGTTTTATTTATTTTTATTAAAATTAATCTCAATTTTTGACTTTATAAATTTAAATTTGCTTCTTTCTTTTTTTTATCTCTGTTGCTGTAGTTCATTGAATGAATGGCATTTGACAGTGTAAGCTGTGCCAACTTTTAAAAAGCAGACTTTTCAATATTTTTAACAGTTTTTATTTAGTAGAGCTATCATTTTAGCTCTGAACTGCATAGGTCGTTCTGTTCGTTCTTCTGCTACAAATGCCACTAAATCTGAAGAGAATTAATTCCGATACTTCCAGGACTTACCCTTCTGCCGCCCTTCTTATCGTCTTCTTTTTTTAGTGAAAAGAACCACTAACTGTAGATGCAACTGAAGTATTTCTATAAATTGGAAATAAATTTTTCCACGTTGCTGTTAAGATTTTCTTTTTTGATAACGCGTTTGTTCAACCAAAATAAAAGGCTTTATGAGAAGTAGTCGAGTGACAAACACTCAAAAAAAGGAAGAAATTGGGGAGAGATTTTGAAACAAACGTACGGTCAGTGTTCTGAAGGTTTCCAGCAAATAATGTTTCAATTTTACTACTGTGATGTATTTTTTCTCTTAGCTTTTTGCAACTGGTGATACTCTTTAATTTTATACAAAAAAAAGTAATATAACACTTTAAGTACACTTTAAGATTTGCTGAAAAGCCAATCTCGGAACTTTTGCAAATCATTCAAATTTGTTGTTTTGTTTCTTTTGCTGATTAGCTGTAATATTTCAAGGCTCAGTTTTAAACTTTCTTTTCTTTACAATACTAATCTTCATTGAACATCGAAAGTTTGTCAGCATTATTTCAAAAAGAAATGACACTGTCTTCTTGGACAGACAACAATTGATCTGCTGTATCTGCCAAACTTTCAGTTCAGTGCAAGTTGAGACGATAAACAAAAAAAAACTGAAAAGTTTCATCGAAGTTTTGAACCACAAACTTCTGTACAATGTTCTAATTCCCTTTTTTTTTGCACTTTTTTCTTTTATAACAAACACTGAAAACCTTAAACTGACACCGTCACAGTAATGTTTTGGATCATTTCTATAACTGTTGTTTTCAGGAATAAATTGCATTAGAACTCTGCTAAAAAAATATGTTAAAATATAAGGTAATTTTAATGCAACATAGTGACCAAAAGTCATTGGGTAAAATTTGTAGGTATATTTGACATTCAACAAAGGGGCAAAAAAAAGAAATGTCATACAAATCTGTAAAGTTACAGAAAAAAAAAAAAAGAAGAATGAAGGGCAATTACATCTCTGATTAGGAGATAAAAATGTCAAGAGTCTTTAGTTGTATAATTTGATTTAATTTGATCTTTTTTTCACGGGTAACAGTTATAATAAATGTTTTTTTCTGACATTGTTTAATTGCTGAAGTGTGCATTTAAGACGCTGACAAGAACGAAGATTCACTGAGATATACAACTGCTTACAATGAATTGAATTTGCTAAAGTTTTTAAAATTTTATCTAAGCATTAAAAATTACATTTGCTGTTTGATAAGTATTAATTTTAATTACTTTTTTTGGAGAAAAAATTATTTTTGTATCTGATCTATTTAATCGTTGATATTTATTCTTGTTTTGACCAATGTTACTTTAAATCTGTGAAATTCTGAAAATAAAAGATCATATGGTTGAATTCCAATGGTTTTCATTACTGAAAATGAACGGTAACGCTTGATATACAGCTGCAGATTGATCAAATTGTTGGCTGACTGAGTGACTGTCTGACTGACTGACTGACTAATGTTTGAAGTGAACTGCGAATTCATTGACATCTAAGAACAATGACACAGTTTAACATGGGGTTTAAGTGAAGGAACAATATCAAAGTGGGAAAAATACTAAAAAGAAGAAAAAAGTACTTTCGGCTAAAATTTTTTTCCAAATTATTTCACAGTTACCCCGATGTATAAAAGACATTTTTAAATTGGGTATTACCGCTGCTCAGGAAAATTTTAGTCTGTTGTCTCCAACTTGCATTCAATAATATTGACAACAGACCAGCCAGGTAAAAAGTTCAGACCGCAGATGAAGATACATCACCTAATTCGAGTATTTTAAAAAATAACTTTTAGGTGGTAAGCAGAAGAAAAAAAGAAAAGAGCAAATACGAAACGAATAAATTGTTCACCGCAATCTTTTCTTCTTTTTTTTTTT